TCCTATTAACCGACACAGGTATCGGGCATAATTTGTTCTAACTCGATATTCCTAAAACTCAACAATGAAAGAGCCTTGAAAGTTGATGCTGATGGTGTTTGTTGACTGCTTTGAGTTAGAGGGACTTGAAAAGCAGCCAAAGCAAGAAGATAATGCTGACTTCCTTTACTTCCTTTCTGTTTTGTAGAAGCAGGAAATATGAACGGTGTCGTCCCTGCACTAAGGGAAGCAATAATCTTCTCATCAAGGACAGGAAGTTCAAGCTAGTAGATTGCTGTAGAGGCCCAGTTAAAATTAACTTAGCTTCTCAATTTCCCCATGAAACTTAGCTTCTTGCAACTCAGTATTCTCGTCCATTCAATATGTATGTAACTGACCCAAATGTTTTTTTTTTTTTTTGGTCATCATTTCTTTATGAAAGTTATTTTGTCATGTAAACTTAACAGTCATGTTAATTTAATCGCCAGGCTCAGACAAAAAGAAAAGCTAGCACAAATGAGATAAAATCTACCTCATTTCTCTACACCAACTCTTATTAATTACTTAATTTCACTCTTTCATTTTTCTCTCACCTATCTTTATGTAAAACATATTCTAACAAAGAATCTATTAAGTCTGAAGTAACCATAAACTAAAAATAGTAAGACATTATTTTTAAATTGTCAGACCTCATATTATTAATTACGCCTGTGGGGATATTTTATGAATTACTTTTAAACTGATACATTTCCTGGAAGAAAGAGAGTATACTTTTAGTAAGTATAGGGTGTTTTCTGAGAGGGAATTGCTTTTTCTGTCTTCTTAGGCTCAGTTATTGGGGGCCTGAGGATATAGCTAACTATACGCACATTCACATGATTAAGAAATGGGATTACTATACATATGGAAAACATGAAAGGAAAAGCTTACCGGTGTTCACAGATGAGCACTTTCATGCCTCACCTTGCGAAGGAAGATGCTGCTACCAGAGGAAAAATGACATCCCACCCTCAGAAGACAGGAAGGTCTAGGACAATATGATAATAGTTGTTTATGAAGCTGTGGATCATTGACTTATTTGTTGATTCTTCCTCAACCAGAAAACTCCCATGGAGAAGGGCAGGTGTCCATGGCAGCCCCCTCCAGAGCCAAAGGGAAGTGTGATAAAGCTTCTTTCTACTCACGTGGAATCTCAAGTGCTGTCAGCTACTGTGACCTTTAGGCCAGCACTGGGTTCTCACTAAATCCCCAAGTCATACTAGCAAAAACCAACCAACCAACCAACCAACCAAAAAAAATCCCTTTAGAGTTTGTTTTACCTGTGAGATTTGCTTTGTTGAGCACTTTCCTAGCCTGGCCTTTAATAAGTGGGTAGATGAGTTTGAGGTCAGCCTGGCTTGCAGAGTAGGTTCTAGGCCAATCCGGGCTATATTATAAGACCTTGTCTCTCAAAAAAAAAAAACTAACTCAAAACTTTTCTAGGAGACTGGAGGGCATGTACTGCTGTTGCAAGAACCTGAGTGTGGTTTCAAGTACCTATTACCAAGCAGCTCACAGCCACCAGCAACTCTACCTCCAAGCTTCTCACAATTCTGAATGCAATTCACCAGTGTTCTCTCTCTCTGTCTCTCTGTCTCTGTCTCTGTCTCTGTCTCTCTCTCTCTCTCTCTCTCACACACACACACACACACGAAATTAAATTTATGAATGAATCTTTAGAAACAACTATTCTAGCAATTTCAAAGCATACTGCTTGAATCTAATTGAGTCTGCTGTTTGCATAATGTTAATAAATTGGATTTTAGAATTTCTCAATTTACATGATAAACCACGCAGGATAACCTGAAAAAAAATACACCAGCTTGAAATAAGTGAATAGTGACTGGGAGCAAAGGCTTGAAAGAGGAAACAGAGCAGAGGAGGTGTTCTGAAGGGCAGGAAAGAGGAGGGCATTCCTCTAGTGTCTTCAAAAGGTCGAGGATCAAGGCTGATGACCTGGTGAGTCAGGACACTGGTTGGCTGTCTCTATCGTAGCTAATACACACAGAAATATAAGTAGTTAATGTCACTATGAAATACAGAATAGCATACATTTTCATAGTACTCTTCCTAAAAATAAGCTATTGAAATAACAAATGAGTGAACTTCACGAAGTTTCTAGACATCACCTGTAAATAATTGCTAAACAGGCACATGTCTTGTTAAAGTATAAGTATGAAGTAGTCATGTCTAACTACAAAAACTCAACATCTGTTCTGGAAAGACAAACGCATTCCTAATTCGATGTTTTGGGTATGACACCGTCTTTTGGTTCAAACTTTCTTAGATCAGTGATAACGTATATGCTTATTTCTGTTGTTTGTAATTTGTAATGTAACTTAATTTAAATTACAATAAATGAATAGCGGTTAATTGAATCTTATTGTCATAATTAGAAAATAAATTTTCAGAAAACACTTTCTTGTCAGTATGAAAACAATTAATTTGCAATTACTTGTTCCTGAAATCATAAAAATCTCTCAATGTACAAATACATATATAAATATTCCATCTTTAGCTTTAAAAATTTATTATGCCATCATCTCTATGCACTACACTGGGTTACAATAAATTACAAAGAAAAAATATTTTGTCTAAGATCAAAAACGAATAAGGTGTGAGTGGCTTGAGCAGTCTGTGGGGCCACTGGCAGTGGGACCAGGATTTATCACTAGTGCTTGAACTGCTCTTTGGAGCCCATTCTCTTTGGAGGGATAACTTGCTCAGCCTAAATATATTGAGGAGGGCCTCAAAGTAAGGTGCCAGAGTTCTTTGACTTCCCATGGGAAGCCTTACCTTCTCTGAGGAGTGGATCAGGAGGGGAGTTGGGAGGAAGGAAGGAATAGCAAGAGGAGGCGATGGAGTGGGAACTGTGTAGGTATATAAAATAAGAAACACTTGGTTGGGAGGCAGAGGCAGGAGGATCTCTGTGAGTTCGACACCAGCCTGGTCTACAAGAGCTAGTTCCAGGACAGCCTCCAAAGCCACGGAGGAAACCCTGCCTCAAAAAACCAAAAAAAAAATGAGAAAGATTGTTTTTAAAATAAAAAAAATTATAAAAATATAAATGAGATGTTTGGCTGGATTAAAACTTAGTATGATTTGTAATTCTTCATTCTTACCGCACATTCTATTGGGAGGTCACCTGAGATGTGCTCAGGTAAGCAGGTCACAAATCCTTGAAGCAATTTTTGCTGAGTTTGGACAGTTTGCGTTGCTTTCTGTGGTTCTACAGATCAAACCTAGGCTTTGTGTCTAATAGGTCAGTGCTCACCAGTGAGCTACAGCCCCAGATCTTGTTTTCCTGGGACAGCACCTCCAGCATCTCCATGAGCAAGCCAAATTGGTCTCAGTTTCTGAACCTCCTCCTTCCTCTACCTCTCTAATGCTGTTTCCTCACTGACTTGCACCTGGTGAAAAATGAGACCAGAAAAGACACATGACATATGACAGAGCTGGTCAATAACTCTTTACCATTTTGCTGCCAATGATTATTTGAAATCTATAATATGAAAACATGTTGAGATCTATCCAAAATTAAAAGCAAGAATATACTGAAGACAAAGATATATTGCATTTCCTTCCTCTGTGATATAATGGGAGAGAAATAAACACAGGATTTGGGAATGAGCATGCTTTATTGCCTTGGTACCAATATTAATTCAACCCATTTTCAATATCCAGGGCAACAGGTGCAGTTTCAAATGCTTATGTCTTAGTCACTGAAGTTAAAAGTATATAAGAGAGTATTTCTGAAAACATTCATTTAGCATCTAAATAACACTGGCTGGATACACAGCTGTTTCTTTTAAATCCGTTTCTTAAGAACAGTCGTTTGGATATGTCCTAACATTGTTGACAAACATCTGTTGGATATGGAAAACCATATTATATGACAGAAGTTACTGCAAAATTATGTAAGAACCAAAGACACAGATTATTTGAAAGTGTGTATGCTGTTAGGATAAGTGCTTAAATTATTTCAGAAAAATCAGAATTTATCAGAGGATGCTAATTCTCAGAAATAAGTCAGTTGGAAGGATTCACTAACTCTGTATCTGTGTGTGTGTGTGTGTGTGTGTGTGTGTGTGTGTGTGTGTGTGAAGTCTGTGGTGACTCTAGAAGTAGAATGTTTATTGTTTTAATGTATAATCATCTTTGCAACTTTGCTATTTATTTTTGCTAATGAAGTAACTATTAACCTTCACTAAACAAGACTTGAGTATATATTTTCTTTGCATTTTATGCTGTATCTCAAAATGCTTTTAAGGTCCATGGTTCACTAAAATAGAGGCTAATAAGAAGAAAGAGCAAAGCAGAGGTCAATTATTAAAGTAGGTCATGAAAATAGAGAACAGAATATGCCTACAGTAATCTGCACCAGTTTTTAGCTTAGATATTATAAATATTGATTATTTATCTTAATGTGTAAAAACATGCGATTCATTCGTTGCACTTAGAATAAACTGAATATGTCTATAAAAAATAAAATAATGATTTTTTATACGGGCTTTGTAATTGGTTCAGGTCTGTTCTCCTTCCACCTCCACTCATAGACAAACGAGGAAAATAAGTGCTGTTTTGTTGTTTTCAATGCAATATCAAGTCTAGAAGTTGCGAGTTGTGCATTGGTGTTTTTTTTTTTTGCTACATTTTGCTTGCAACACAAAATACTCACTCTGAAAACACAGAATGAAATAATTAACCAGTCATTGCAAAGCAAATGTTAGCCCCGTGCCCAACGCAAAACAAACCACTTTTATTTCTCTGCCACAACAAATGCTATTTCTTGTCCTCGAGTTCATTTCTAATCCTTTTGTTGTGCATGTATTGTATAAACTGTGGATCCTTCTTCACAGTAATGGTGAAGTAATGGTCTTCCACTGTGTGCTCGCAGGAAGGAAGCCCATCACATTTTGCTCCTGTGGTTGCTGTTGTTGGGACAGCTTGCATACTCAGTTGCGCCTTCTGCTTTTACGCAGCTCTTAAAACTAAGCGAAACGTTCGTGAAATCAGCTACCTTCTGGGAATGAGAGAATCTCGGGCTGGCTCCCTCACTTCTCAAGAAGAGAAGCTGAATCCAGGGACCCTGTAATAACCCCTCTGACACCATGCCCAGGCAGGAGTAGAATTGGAGCTGGAGTTCACATTCCCTGAGACAGCCCACCCTTCCCTCCGGGTTCCATCTCGTCTAATGGTGTCCACAAGAGAAAATGGGCCAAAGAGGAAGTCACTTCACTCTCCTTCCGAACCCACTGCTGTAATTCTGAGGACAACGAGGTCCCTCTGAGAGGGAGACAGGTGGGTACACTCAGACTCCCATTCCTGAGGTGTGCTGGTTCAGGTGTGTCCTGCTTGAGGGACACCTGCTGTCCCTCTGCATTTTTTTCTCTGTGCATATCAAGTTGCCATTGCTTTCCCAGGACCCTTGTTCAGTTTTGAATATGTCGGGGGTTCATTCCAAATGTGATCCTAGTCTGAGATGTAAATGTAGCAGAGAAGGCGTCTTCCAGATGAAGCTGTAGCAGAGAAGGCATCTTCCAGATGAAGCTGTTATTTCATCAGGCAGTCAAAGCCGACCTAATTCTGGCATGTGACTGACAGCTTACCTCTCCGACTGGGAGGCGATTTGCGAAGGGAAACGTTTGCTAAAATAAACACAAGGCTAAACTGAGATGTTAAGTTTAAGGTGATGGGCAGTGATGTACGGTGCTGTTGTATCCTGAGAGCCCCGCAATTATCATTTCATTGTGCCGATTTGATCGCCTTAATATTTTCATGCTGGGAAAAGAATACTGGAATAGAGGCTTCCTCGGGATTCGTTTTTAAATAAAGTAAACCCATATCAAAACTACCTTTTAGAAATGTAACTAAAAGTGGTACAAAAAGTTTGAAACACAAAGATGGCTTTAAAGCAAAATTTTAAAGTATGCTTACATTAGAAATTATGCTCATGGTGTTTTAATGTACACTCAATTTGACTTAGTAATTTCTTTTGCTGTGTCAGACTTTCTATTTCAAATTTCAGTCAAGTATAAAAAATAAATATTAATTTGCGTGGTAGGGAATACTACTGGTTTCTTTCCATCAATGGTGATGAAATAAATGAAAATTAAAAGAAGGAACTATCTCACATCTATAAAATTTGTTTAAAAAAGTCATTATTCTAAGACCATTGTACATCAGAATTTGTAATTTAATTGTAAAGTCATTTATAAGTACCTTAAATTGTAAAAAATATTTAGCATCCTATGGTTTTGGATAACATACTCCCAGTATCTTGAAAAATAAGTGTAAGTTCAAGATTTTACTATATGCTCAAAATAGCACATGCATATAAAAGTACCATTGTGAAGACTTGGTAGTAGCCTGACATGGCACCCATTTGTAGCAAAAGATATTGAAGAGATGAATGAATCTCCTTGCTATATGTTTATTTAAGTAGGTGGGAGGATCTGAAGGAAAAGCAGAACGTGAAAAACTGATTGATACTATCAAAAATGTATCAATTGTATTTATTGCTCTCACTACTTCGCTCAACTCAGTTAAAATGTGAAGACTCTGGATTCATAAGTTAGATGTAAGAGGAACAAAATGCAGGATTTCCCTGAGAAATAAGAGAGACTCATCAGTGTCATGACAGACAAAATAAATCTCCACAGGAAGAAGGATTACAACACCGAAACCATAAGTATAAAGACTAAGACTTGAGATGTGAAACTAATGAGGCAACATTTTGAATTTCTCAGAAGGCAGCTGACATTTTTATAGGTATAAATGATACTGTTTCCATGATTTCCAAACAGTCCCTAACACATTGGACTTACGCTTGAAATTAATTTCTCTGTCCTGAGGTCATTTAGAAATGTGCATTGAGATAAACCAACTGACTAGTTCTTAGGTTACTGCTGTCAAGTGTTATAACATTTTGTTATACTTAAAACATGGTGAATTTTTTACAAAAAGCTCATTTCAGTGAAGGTCTGGTAAGTCTATTTAAGAAAGTAGAAATCCAATGGAAACACGTATATCACTGTTCCTTTAGAGAGAAATGTTTGAAAATATTTTTGTGACAGTTAAGTTTGGGGTGAAGTGTGTTCATCATAAATTGCAAGTAAATGTCTGTGTGACGCATTATATCTATACTTCAACCACAACAATTTTAAAGGAGAGTTAAACGTGAAAGGGACTGTGAATGCAGATCAGTTGACAGAGTGCTTGCCTGGAATGCTCTACACTCTAGATTGGATGCCCTGTACCAGTATCAGGTGGTATCAGCCCCTGTGAAAGCAGACAGGTATAGGACAGACATTCATGCATGGTGTTTGTTTTCAGTCAGGCTATGGTATACTGTGTGCATAGCTGTAATATTACACAATCTATGATGGCAACTAGAAGCTGTCCATGATGGCCCCCAGGTTCATTAGCATTAGTGTTCATTGGTGGTGTCGGTACAATTTCGTTAGACTGTATTTCATTGCCGTGACAAAAATCACTGATAGGGAAGTCTCATGCTCTTTGTTTCAAAGGGCTTGGTTTATAGGACTTTGCCCGTATGCACTCAGGTAAAGTGTCATGGTGGAGAGACTGCGTGGCAGGGACAGGTGTTCACCTGTTGGTGCACAGGGAGCAGAAAGAAGATAGATATCATCCTCCCCCCCCAAAGATCTTCTCTCATTAATTTATTTCCTTTGGCCAGGTCCTACCTTCTGAAGTTCCCTGATTCTTACAAGCCAGTGCCCCCACAAAAGATTCAGATCATTGACCCTTGGGAGAAAAATCCACATTCAGACTATACCAAATGATTTGATGAGAATGAATGCCATTCCAACTCTGAGGACTTTTCCACGTAACAACCAACTTCTCAACACTCAGTGTTATATAAAAACTTCTCAACACTCAGTGTTATATAAAATTGTTTCGCTGTTCCAAAGCGAAGTTGAATTACTTTTTAAATCATTTCATGTGCATGCATGCGTGTGCATGTATGTGCGTGTAGGTAGGTGTGGAGGTCAGAGAATGTCTTTCACGCATCGTCTCTTATTCCCCACCTTGTTTTTGAGTCATGGTTTTCTTGATGTTTCTGCTGCTGTGCTACGCACTCAACACTGCAACCTCCTGTTTGTTTCTCCCATCTTATCTCAAGGGAGCTGGGGTTACAGAGGGATATTACTGCTCTCGGCTTTTCTACTTTTTTATCTCAAAGTACTTTCCTTTAAAAATTACTTTTAAGGTAGCTGCTTTTTCTCACTGAGCAATCTCCTCAGCTTCCTCGATGTGGTTTTCAATGTAAAACTATCACTTTTTTCCTGCTTCCCACCATGTGTATCCCAAGCTCTACAGCCTTGGGGAAAGCAGTCATTCCAAAGGTAGGTGAAGCAGATCACAGACAGTCTGACTCAGAAGAACAGGGCTGATGAGGTCATTGATTTCCAAACGTTGAAGGGATGAGAAGCACCTGGGAGTCCTGTCACACTTCACATCCAGGGCTTCTCTGGACATCCGGATTCAGTAGAATTGAACTGAGTCTGAGAAAATGCGATTTTGGAGAACACAAGCTCCACAAGTGAACTTTATCATTAGGGGAGTGTTGTGAAATCCGGAAACCCTGAGCCCAACTCCATTTCTTCTGCCAGGAGAGAAGACGGAGCCAAAGATGACATGTCCAGGGAGTAATTCCGGATATGAGGCTTCCGCCGCTGAATCCTGGAACTTCTCTCTTGCCCCTAACTCCTTTGTTTGTTTCTTCTTTAAATTTTGATCTCCGTAGGATGGCTAGATGTATTCACTAGGCATGCAAAATAAATTTGATGGAAATATATAGAACCAGTCATAGGAAAACCTACATAGTTTTCATTGATCATATACACTAAAACATGCTTCACGTTGCCATGTACTGCTTACCTGTGGCGTTATATCACGGTACAAGAAGAGTTATTAATTAAAATATAAATGTATGATAAAATCAGGATGTGGTGGTTTGTACAAGAATGCCCCACCCACATAGGCACATGGTTTGGAATACTTGGTCCCAGTTGTTGGAGTTGCATGGGAAGAATTAGGAGGTGTGGGCCTTGTTGGGTGAACTGTGTTACTGGGGGCAGGTTTTACAGTTTCAAAAGACTCACACCATTCCCAGTGTTCCTGTCTCTCTGCCTTTTAGATCAGGAGGTGATCTGTCAGCTAATCCTGCCAGCACGCCTTTGCTTTGCCAGCATGAACCCTAATCCTTAGAACCATAATCTCAATGAAATGCATCCTTCTGTAAGTTGTCTTGGCCATTGTGCTTTGTCACAGCAATAGAGAAGGTAACTAAGACACAGCACCTTTACATTAAATGCAGATATATACATCTCTCAGCTGTCCCAAATCCCACTAGAGTTTCTTAGAGGCAGCCCTGTTGGAAGGGTGTGGAATTTAAAAGACACAAGTTTAAAAAGACCAAACTGGAGACTAAAGCTATATTTCCCAGCCAACACTCTGATCTACATTTAACTATATGAAATGAAATCTTAGTACATTTTATGCTATTATTTCACAAGTTCTTCCCTAGGGTGGAGCTATAACTCAGTGGTACAGTGATTGCCTACTGTGTATAAGGCCCCGAATATGTTCATTAATGTAACAACAAAAAGAAAAAGAATTGCATACATATTTTAAACCTAGAAGAGTAGGGAACAATATCAATATGAATAATACACACCTTTTTATAACTCACCTATTCTGTATGAAACAAACTGAAATGTTCCTCTGAAATTAAGATGAACTCCAGAATCTGGGTCAACAGAGAAACACTGATATGGTGTCATGGGTTCAAGTCAATGTCTATCTTCCTTTATGCTGTGTTGTCTTTCCATAACTGAAGGAAAGTGTGTGTGTGTATGTGTGTGTGTGTGTGTGTGTGTGTGTGTGTGTGTGTGTGTGTGTGTAGTAGAGTTCATCTAGGAACCTGAAAATGGAAGACAGGTCAGGAGAAGCCTATCCCCACTGCCCCCCAAAAAAACAGTACTCGACATAGAACATTCTGGAATCATTGTAGGCAGTGACTACAAGTTGTTCCTTGCTGAGGAATATAATTCTGGAAAAGTACATATAGACCAAATTCTAACAGGTCAGATTTAAGCTGCATAGAAATTTGTTGGAAGGGTATCATACAATCAAAAAATGAATGAACCAAAAAATAACCAAATCAAGCAATATCATTAGGAAGATTGAGGTACTAAGTAATTGTCTAGTACCTGATTTCATGTTTCTTAGTGTTCACTATTAAACTGTTTTCCTCGTTTTATACTTTCTAAATA